GGGTGCGGGTCGGGCCTAGCGCCACGGATGAGTGCACCGCGCCCCGCCCCGACCGCGCACATGCAACACGTGGCAAACTCAAATTGAATTCGGCGGCGCGCACGACATTCAGGGAAATACACTCCCAGGAGGAGAGGATGGACTTGCACGATGATTCGCGGACAGGCGCGCATCCCGTCACCTGGCGGGCCAAAGGGTGGTCTTACCCACCTGCTCCTTCTCTCTTTCCCTCTGCTTCCCCTCCTCTCTGTACTGTCAGCATAGAAAAGGATTGGGCGGATGGTGAAGGGCTCTAGTTCGTTCTACGCATTAATATTATGAGCTATGAGCTATAAAGACTTAGGTTTTGAGACGAACCCTACCGGCTCTCAACAAATTCAATAGAACAGGTGTAAGGACTTAAGATGATATTTTAATGAAAGTGACAAGGGTGGTTCGTGGTTCAGGTTTGACAAAAGGTGTTACACTTGGCTTTCTCTCTCTACCCTCCTACCCTCTCGTGATGTGTGAGTTCTTGCCTATCCAGAGACCGAGCTGCCGCCACGGCCGACCAAACCGCATCTAACTCGCTCGCGTTTTTAAAGACGCCTCCGCCTGAGGGCGGAAGCGTACACACGACGCGGGCAGAGCGAGCCAGAGGCGCGCTCCAGACTTGCGTTTGTTGACGGGTTCGCCTGTGCGGTTGTATTGTAACACTTTTACAAGTGTCACAATCCAACAGTACCACTCTCTTATCGCCGTTTTGGACACCTACCTATCTGAATGAAGGCAAACCAACCCCCTTTGAAACAGTGCCCCGTACAACCGCGACTCCCCGGCGTCCCTGCGGAGCCGATGGTCCCGCCCCTGCCGAGGCCCCTGCCGAGGCCCCTGCTCGTCGCCGTCCCCGTCCCGGGGCCGGGCGCGGGGCGCGGGGCCCTCCGGGCTGTTTTGGGGATCGCTATTCGGCCCGCCTGCCCCCTCAGCATGCCTCGCGCGTGCCGCCCGCCCCGCGCCGTCGTCCG